CACCCCCGACATGTACGAGCCCAGCACGGGCGACGACGAGGAGTGGGAGCGCTGGCTCAGGGGGCTCATGGACGACGACGTGGAGAACGAAGGTGCCTGGCGGGGTCACTGCGGTGACAAACAGCAGGGATTTGTGTTAAATTGCCATATCCTGGCTTCAATACATTCGGGCAGGCCATTGCAGAACTTGGAACTTGGTTGGAACTTGAGCAGAGCATGAGCAGGACTTGGTGAAAACTTGGGCAGGACTTGGTGAGAACGTGGTGAGAACGTGGTGAGAACTTACTTGGGCAGAACGTGGGCAGAACTTGAGCAGAACTTGGTGAGGACTTGGGCAGAACTTGGTCAGAATTTGGTCAGAACTTGAGCCAAACATGAGCAGAACTTGGTGAGAACTTGGTTGGAACTTGGGCAGAACTTGCTCATGGACGACAACGTGGAGAACGAAGGTGCCTGGAGGGGTCACTGGTGTGACAAACAGCAGGGATTTGTGTTAAATTGTCATAGCCTGGCTTAAATACATTGGGGCAGGCCATTGCAGAACTTGGAACTTGAGCAGAGCTTGAGCAGAACTTGGTCAGAACTTGGGCAGAACTTGAGCAGAATTTGGTTGGAACTTGGGCAGAACTTGCTCATGAATGATGATGTAGAGAACGAAGGTACCTGGCGGGGTCACTGGTGTGACAAACAGCAGGGATTTGTGTTAAAGTTGTCATGTCCTGGCTTAAATACATTCGGGCAGGCCATTGCAGAACTTGGAACTTGGTGGGAAGTTGAGCAGAGCTTGAGTGGAGGTTGGTCAGAGCTTGGTTGGAACTTGGTCGGACCTTGAGCAGAGCATGAGCAGAACTTGGTGAGAACTTGGGCAGGACTTGGTGAGAACGTGGTGAGAACTTACTTGGGCAGAACGTGGGCAGAACTTGAGCAGAACATGAGCAGAACTTGGTGAGAACTTGGTCAGAACAAGAGCAGAACTTGGGCAGAACTTGGGCAGAACTTGGTCAGAACTTGAGCAGAACTTGGGCAGAACTTGGTCAGAACTTGAGCAGAGCATGAGCAGAACTTGGTGAGAACTTGGGCAGGACTTGGTGAGAACTTGGTGAGAACATGGTGAGAACTTACTTGGGCAGAACGTGGGCAGAACTTGGTTGGAACTTGGGCAGAACTTGGGCAGAACATGAGCAGAACTTGGTCAGAACAAGGGCAGAACTTCAGCAGAACTTCAGCAGAACTTGGTGAGAACTTGGTCAGAACTTGGGCAGAACTTGAGCAGAATTTGGTCGGAACTTGGTTGGAACTTGGTCAGAACTTGAGCAGAGCATGAGCAGAACTTGGGCAGAACTTGGGCAGAACTTGCTCATGAAAGATGACGTGGAGAATGAAGGCACCTGGAGGGGTCACTGGTGTGACAAACAGCATGGATCTGTGTTCAGATTGACACATCCAGGCTTAAATACATTCGGGCGGGCCATTGCAGAACTTGGAACTTGGTTGGAACTTGAGCAGAGCTTGAGTAGAGGTTGGTCAGAGCTTGGTTGGAACTTGGTCGGAACTTGAGCAGAGCATGGGCAGAACTTGGTGAGAACTTGGGCAGAACTTGGTGAGAACTTGGGCAGAACTTGGTGAGAACTTGGTGGGAACATGGTGAGAACTTACTTGGTCAGAACTTGGGCAGAACAAGAGCAGAACTTGAGCAGAACAAGAGCAGAACTTGAGCAGAACTTGGTGAGGACTAGGTCAGAACTTGGTCAGAACTTGGTGAGAACCTGAGCAGAGCTCAGTTTGAGCTGTCAGGTTTGTTCTTGTTTCCATAAATCCAAAATTCCTCTTTGTGACAGTGAATAAATAAAACTGGCTTGGTGCTGGGGCAGGATGGTGACAAAACTTGGTTAAAACCTGCTCAAAACTTGATTAAAACCTGATTAAAACCTGATTAAACCTGCTCAAAACCTTTTTCAATACCTGTTCAAAGCCTGTTGAAAACCTGATTAAATCTTTTCAAAATCTGATTAAAACCTGATTAAATATTTTCAAAACCTGCTCAAAACCTGATTAAAACCTGATTAAACCTGCTCAAAACATGATTAAAACCTGATTAAAACCTGCTCAAAACACTTTTCAAAACTTGATTAAAACCTGATTAAAACCTGATTAAACCTGCTCAAAACCTTTTTCAAAACCTGCTCAAAGCCTGTTGAAAACCTGATTAAAACTTTTCAAAACCTGTTCAAAACCTGCTCAAAACCTGATTAAAACCTGATTAAACCTGTTCAAAACCTGATTAAAACATGCTCAAAACCTGCTCAAAAACCTGTTGAAAACCTGATTAAATCTTTTCAAAACCTGTTCAAATCTTAATTAAAACCTCTTCAAAACCTGCTCAAAACCTGTTCAAAACCTGCTCAAAACCTGATTAAAACATGCTCAAAACCTGTTGAAAACCTGATTATAAACCTGCTCAAAATGTGATTAAAACCTGCTCAAAATCTGATTAAAACCTGTTTAAAACCTGCTCAAAACCTTTTTCAAAACCTGTTCAAAACCTGTTGAAAACCTGATTAAATCTTTTCAAAACCTGATTAAAACCTGCTTAAAACCTCATTAAAACCTGTTCAAAACCTCATTAAAACCTGCCTAAAACCTGTTCAAAACCTGATTAAAACCTGATTAAATCTCTTCCAAACCTGATTAAAACCTCATTAAAACCTGCTCAAAACCTGATTAAAACCTGATTAAAACCTGCTCAAAACCTGTTGAAAACCTGATTAAAACCTGATTAAACCTGATTAAAACCTGATTAAACCTGTTCAAAACCTGCTCAAAACCTGTTCAAAACCTCATTAAAACCTGCTTAAAACCTGCTTAAAACCTGC